ATATTATTAAGATTAAATATTAATTTATTTTTTGATAAAACCAAAGGATTTCGTAGTTTAAATATTCGAATGTTTTAATGAGACGAGCGAGTGTATCGTCGAAATGAATTTCTTCGACGTATGACAAAACCGTTAATGAGAACGCGGTAGGGGTAACGAAATATTCATGCTAATCGGTTTATAACGCGTGGAAAACACAATTCCGTGATAATTGCAGTTCGTTAACCGTATCGTGAGTTCTCTCGGACAATAAATGCCGATTTATCACTTATACGCTGTAGGCAGAAAGTTAGTCAGTAATGCAAAAGAGCGTGTATTGTGCTGGCCGTCTAAATCAGTCGTTTTCACCGATTCAGATGACAGTTATTAATAGACGTAGCAATCAGGACATTCATTCTCTTACTCTAATAATTTTATTTTTATTTTCTGCAATATTTAAAAGTAATAAATTACACTTTAGAGTAACCAGTATTTTTTATTCATTGTCTTATTCCATTAACTTTATTTTCATTTTTGTCAATATTTGAATATAATTAATTGTACTTCACAGTAGCTGATCTGTTTTTGTATTATTTGACATAATTCAATATTATTTCTCGACGTATGTTAATGTTTCGTTGGCGAATAAAATTCGAAGGGGAAAGTGATTACGATGATCACGTTTGGGGTGACATCACGGGGAGAATGTAATGATGTCACAGCCCCGTGGTCGAATATGTCGTTCCAGTAATACTATTCTTCCATTTGCATCAACGTACGCGGAATTAATTAATGCCAACGGCTCATCAAAATCAAAAATCCAATGGCCCACATTATTTCAATTTTTTATATTATTAAGTACTATCAAATTCTAAAGTGGAATAGAAAAAAATGTAAATTGTCTGTCTATGCTTTATTATTTTTCACATTGTTTTATACATAGAAGAGTATAGATTAATTTTTCTGTTTTCTTGCACAATGATTGAAAATAGTATTCAGTACTTCTAATGATAATTAATGAAATGTTTTTATATCATGATACTTTATTCATCGTATCGATTTGAAAAGGCGTTTTCAATATAGAATTTAACGTTTTGTAACAAACGTGTAAATTCCTTATTTAGGATTTTCCTTCGCTTTACCAAGGAGAGAAAGAAACGCAATAATTTTGTAATTAGCATTCAGCAGAATAATTACGGGAGAGTTCTTGGCCACGTTTAAACGCTATCACGACAGCGTAAAAGGTTGTTCGTTACGTTTTTAGTCCGCTTTCGAGGCTCGTAGGAGGAATGAAAAAGTGAAGAAGAAGAAGAAGAAGCACAGAGATAATGGAATGTTCTTCTTCCTCGACCCAGAAATCCGATGGGAATTAAAATGTGGTAATCGCGATCCCCTATTCCGGGCGTAACGCGTCGAGGCGTCAGTAAAAACGCGCGCGGCCCATCTGGCTCTTACGTGTAAACAAGACTTTACTTTCTCAAGCACGCGACCACCTCTGCCTCTGCTCTTCTGCCTCCTCTTACTTTCTCCTCTGGGTCGGTCGGTCGGTTGCCGCGAAAAGTAGGTCCCAAATAGGATTAAGCGATCGTTCAAACAGTTCGCCACCCAAACCGGCGGCCGACGTATATTTCCTCTAATCTGCCTACGAATCTCGCCAATTGTCAAATTCTCTCCTGAGATCTCGGCCAAATTTATGATAACTCTCCCGCCTCGCGTTACTTTCTTTCACGAATAAATTCTGTTCGACACCGCGGGACTTGTTAGGTTTTGGAAACGAGTTATGCAATCTGTAAAAGTGGTTGACGAACATTGGATAAATTTGTAACGAAGCTATCTAGCCGGTGAAAGCAATCAGTGAGAATCGCTGAGTAAACGATTCGATGTCGTTTAGAGAAACAATAAATATCTAGTTGTGAAACTGGTTCTATGCAATGAAAGTTATTACTTGCATGATCGATGCTCGTTAATATTATCATGCTTGTTCAATTTCATGCTCCCGTCGAATGTAACTCATTCATTTTTTTATTTAATTAACTGAAAGGTTAGTAAAGTCACATTTTTTTATTCAATTATTATTTTCCTCCTATTTCATGTGTTATCTTGGTTTCATATCTTACGTTTCATTTTCTCTTTGTTATTGTACACCAATGAGTTTTATAAACCTGCATATTAATAAATTCATAAATAAATAAATTCTTAGGATTTTTTCTCGAATTTTGATTCCTCCAATGTCTGACTTGAGAATTATCTCATCCAAGCTCCTAAGTATTTCTTTCCCCCGAATTTTGATTCCTCCAATTTCTGGCTTGAAAATGATTTCTAACCAGCTGAGTAAAACACGGTTAGTTAAAACGAAGGTAATCGCGTGTGGCGTTCATTTATCAGCTTTCTAATCGATAGGAGGCATTGTCTTTCGTGGCAGAGTAACTCCGGTGGCCTGGTCCAGTTCTCCTCGCAGCCTGACTTGGCCAGTTGCGTTCGATTACCCTGGTGAACGAGTTCCACTAACTGAAGTGACGAAAAAAAAGAACGCGACGCATCCATGCTCCTTGGCGATACGTTCTCCCCCACTGTCCCCTTACGCATCTTACTTTCATTGCTTTCGAACGGGTTCTCCGTTCGTTTTCATCGGCGCGGCGCGAAAGTGAATGGAACGCGACGATATTTCCAATTGGCGCATCGGTATTCGACGCTCGAGCCCCGTCGCACTCGTAATCGATATCGCGACACAAATCCTGATTAAATTTGCCTCGACGCCTTTGACATTCGTAAATGGCCTTACGCTATTAAATTAATAAACAATAGAAATTTTTAAACAAATGCATAATGAAAAACGCTAAGAGAAAAAAGATTGGAACAACAGAATAATAAATGAATATTTTAAATGAATTATTTTATTAAAAAAAAATCGTTTGATTTGCCTTGATATTTAAATGTATATAAATAATTGATTAAATTCTTTCTGTATAAAATAAATTTAGAAGATATCAGTGAAAGCAATTAATGGCACGTCGTATGAATTTCAATTCAGTAACGCAACTAATATAAATACAAAGCAGATATCAAATGCTAGAGAAAGCGAGGATATCGAATTGATAATTTCCAACGAATTTTCTAAATTTATTAAGAGAGGACGTTTAATGGTGGCCGTGAAACGATTAGGTTAAACAGTCACACTACATTCGAGGGCGGTAAAAACATAACCATAAACGACTGTACCCAACCATTTAATTGCCAATGCTAATCTATATGAGGTCGTCGATGCGTGACCACTTAACCGAGCAACAAAACGACTACTGTTATCACCAACCATAATGTTCCGACCACCCGACTTCTGGCCTATTAGAAGGATAATGTAGCGGTATGTGGAAATGCAAAATAAAAGGTGAAATACAATCCGATTGACGGTTACTTGTTGCACTCGTCCGCTTGCGTGTGGGTTTGGTGGCCTCAAAAACGGCGAGCTGTAAACGGCAAACGGAACGGAAATAACGATTGAAACTCGATATATTGATAGGAACGCGAAGAAAATAGGCGAAGGAGTGATTAAAAGAAGGAACAGGAGAAATCTTTTAAAGCGGATGTCTCGTGGCGTTGTCCGCCTCGGCTAAAATCCCGCGGAGACGTTTAACGATCGGAAAGCGATGTTGAATAAAATAATGGGACACCGGCGGTAATCCTCGGGGATGCGGGGGAAAGTTAGTAAAAACGCGTTAAGGAACAGAAATTTCCCGGCGGGCTGACCTAATACGTACCGCTGCCGCTCGCCGCGGGTTTGCTAACTTCTGCAAAAATAATTACGCCTCGTTGAACCGCGGGAAGAGACGTGCTTGCTCCGTGAAGTAATGAAATCAACCCCTTCATCAATTAGTAATGCGAATTCTGACGTGAAATTTAGTGGACAATTAATGGACGAAAATAAAAGTAATTAAGAAGCCTCACAGTTTCCGGATGCCGTTTTCTAATTAATTTATTTAATAATTCATATGGAACATTTTTTCACCGCAGCTCTTGGTAAAAGTATTTTCAATTGTCGTCATAGTTCACCCGAAATACTTTATTATACGAAGTTTGCACCTAATACAAATAAATATTCTCAATCAATGAAGAAGAATTTTCACCAATAATTAACAAAAATATTCACATTTACCTTCATACAATTTATTTCTAATTATTATTGTTATTTTATAATGGAGGATTTAGCAAATTAAGTAATTCGGAGGGTAAGGACGAATAGTTTTACGAAAAATTGAACAAGATTGTCTACTGATGCTGTCAATAGAAGCTTATATTTTTCTGTTCCTCGATACGCCAGTTCCCGGCCGAGCCCGACGAGATCTCTACACATTTTAAGTTGATTAAAGACAACGAATAATTACGGAGGACTTGTTTAGAATTTTGAAAGTTGCTCCCGCTGCCCATTCGCTCCCTTCACCCTCGTTCGTCTGCATGAAATAGTCGACGAGTCCTCGCAGGTGTCTGCAAAGGAAACCGAAAATAAGGAAGCTAGAAGAAGCCCGTTATTCCTTTGAGAAAATTTTCATGCTTTGAGACGAGATTGCTTTACGTTTACGGTTTTCAAGAAAGGGTTACGAGGCTCTCGAGTGGAGAAGAAAACATGAGATAAAATCCGTGCACGCCTCTGGCTCTTCAGAAAGTAATAAAATTGTGCAACCCAGCGTATAAAATGAAATAATGCTACAATATACATTTTTNTATTCTAGAATTAATTTGTATAACCTTGGGATTTTAAACGGGACGTCGTTTAATGTAAAAAGTTTCACATGAGAAATTCATATAACGATCCTGAAGCTGCGGGACGCGTAGCTCGCAAATTAATTGGCAGTAGTTGAACTCGGCGCTGAACTCTAACGCTTTTTACGCGCTTGCTACGGTATTTATAAAACCCGGCGAGTTAAGAAAGGAAAATATTGCTGTTCAACTGGAGGGTGACTTTAACGCTGGGATACACGTTACGCGAAGCTTATTAATACTGAAAATACTCTGTTTCCCTCCGATCTCTGGGCACCCTTTCCATAATTTATACATCTTCGCGCGGTTCCAGAGTACTTTTTATCGCTCGTAGCAGAAGACATAATTGTGCGTAGAAATTCGATGACTTACGATAAACGACATTAAGATAAGAGATCGAGATCGTTCCCGTTGCTGGGCTCGTTCTCGCGGTCGAGATTGATTTGATCCATGAAGTTGAGGACGGCGCTGAATCGGTTGACGGAGGAGACCGGCCGATAGTCCGGCGGCGATCGTTTCCCGTATCGGCTATCCCAGAAGAGTCGGTCTGTTCTAGGTACGACCTCAACCAGCTTCGGCAACTTGCTCTCTCTTCCTAGATTCTCGCTCCGGCCGTATCTGCCTCCGGACACGAAGAACGACTCTGGAAATTATAATTGAAGGATAATTTGTTAGTGAAAATGAATCCTAATATCTGCGTGCCTGCGTGACGAAATTTTTATACAGAATTTATAGGCACTGATCTCCTCTACAAGAAAGGTTCTATGATATTAAAAGGACATTTTCACCATACAAATTAATCTTCAACGAGGAAATACATCAACTCGCCATTGACAAAATAAAATGTCCGTCGAAAAAATAAAATAGATACATTGTAATGCAAATTATAGTAAACAATAAGTGAAAACATGTATCCATTATACATTATTGGTTTCACTATTTCCCATATATTTTGCATATGTCATACATACATTTTGCACATATTTTGTATATATTTTTGCATATTAATTTCGTATGAAATCCCGCTGTCCAATTACTATAAATTAAATTAATATTTGCAAAGTAAGCTTCGTTTATTAGCCTAGTCCAACACTTATGAAATGTCGAATCAATTTTAAAATCTTGAAGGAGTCGAATGAACGAATTTATGATTACCTTCAATTTAAAGATTAATACAAGTAATTTATTACAAGAGCATAGAATTCAAAGATTAAAAATGCATTTTTAAGTTTTAATACGCTTTTGTATAAGAAGATTCTATTTAATACGACGAGTCATTAATTAATAAACTTGTTGAGAAAAGTATAGACAGCCTAATTTATAATAATTCAGTAACTGCAGTTGTAGATCTTTACAAATTACTGAGTACCTCGTGTAACTGTTAAATGAAATAGCTTTTACGAAAATGAATAAAAATAGACGGAGAGCAACGAGTCTCCGGAGATATTCCCGTAATTGGAGGAACGATCACCCCGTCTTTAAATAAAACAAATTCAATGAAATTGGCTTGTAATAAAGATGGGGAAAAATAAAAAAAGAAGTAGGAAACAGGGAAGGGAGGGAATAAATTTCCTTAATTGAAAGCGTCATTGCACCGGTAAAAGGAATTGTTGAACAGTTCGATTGTCACGCATCGTTCCTGGCAAAGGAACGGTGACATTTGAAATAGTTCCGGGATGGCTCGTGTTCAGAAAAAGATCGTGTGGCCGGGAACTGGAAACGTGTTGCTAATTGAAAACGACAGTCGAGCTGTTCACCCGCAAAACTGCCCGAGTCTTCTGATTACGTTCTGTGTTCCACAATTTGTGCGAGAAGAAAACTGGAAATACGAACGCGGTGGATTTGGCGGCTGCGGTTCTTCACGAGGCAGATTTAGGCAACGCGCTCCGTGTAATCACACAGCAAAAAGGGAATCAACCTATTCGAATTTCTCTCTTATTTAAACAAATGACGTTGGAGATAATATTACTGATAGTAAATTTCATTTTAAATGAAAGACAGCATTAGTTTAGTAGAATGAGGTCAAAATTATTTCACTTCTAATTGTAGTTATCCTGTCGATGATGTTGTTATTAAAGGAAGAGTAGAATTGCAAAGAAGTTGAGAAATTCTTGAGAGAAGACTTAGACTATAAGGGAGACTTAGACCTGTATTCAGAGTCGTTGATTATTCTTAACATCGTTTTAAACATTTGCTATCCTTGACTATCCCATATTTCCAGCCCCTGTCTTGTACGGGAAATAGTAACTTAAGCAAATGCTTAAGGCGATCTTAAATATAAGTAACGACTCTGAATACCGATTCTAGTGTCCGCAAGATGTCCAGAAAAATTTTAAGATGTTCGCAAGAATTATCGCAAGCTCAAAATCAGGAGGGAAAGAGACAGTTATAATGAAGAAGAAGAAGAAGAAGAGGAATTTGGGGCAGAGAAATAGAAGAATATAAAGAGGAGTGTTACATAGGACCAAAATTAAAAGAAATAAGGGGAAGAAGGAATATAAAGAACTGTTGATACAGGGAAGAAGAATTAGGGGTAGAACAGGAATTGGGAGAGGCTTAAATAATAGAAAAGTGAAACTAGTGGAAGAGGGTAGAAAAAGAATAGCAATAACAATATTTTTGATACTAAATTAAAGAGAAAACGAAGAAGAACTTAAGGTAATTAGACAAGGGGCAAATGCACAAAAGAGGAGCAGGTGAAAGGTAACTTGAGAAAATTACAAAGTAAGGAGATAGGAGGGAGAAGAAAAAAGAAGCTTGTAGAGATAAAGGAAGCAGGATAAATTATATATTATTTTAAATTGGACTGTTTATTTTGTTACAAAAAGCTGGAGTAAAGTGTTTTATGTAGGACTGAAAGAATCGACATGTAAAAGGATTCTCATTGCGTGGTTAGATGCAGTGTTTAGGTAAATAAGCAATATAAAAAGTGATTATATATGAAAGAAAAATAAAATATATATTTTTGTCTTATATTTAATTTATTTAGTCCACAGTTTAATGAGCTTTAGAGGAATGTAAGATCGATGAGTAATCAAGTATAAAATGAATCGTTAGTGTGCGAAGATGTGGAGGGATGAGTGATTATATCTCCAAGGTGTGAAATAAAAATCCAAGTCATATTCTATGTCCGATAAAACGTAAACGTATTTTAATTCAAGTAAAAATCATGCGTGTAATTTTATTATCTATCGACGGAAAATGATTCAGCATTCCTCCATTAACAATTTTTAATATTTCCCTACAGAAAGCCTGTGGGCGTAATTGTTTTAATGAAATATAAATTCAAATTGACGCGCATCGTAAAATCGACATCGGGATAACGTAAAATCAAGTAACTAAATGGATTAATAAAATGTAAATTTCCGCGAACTGCAAAACAGAAATATGACGTAACTCACCTGCGTGTGGCTCGTGTCTTTTCCCATATCGGCCCTGGATGTAAAATTTCTGCTGTGATGCGACCAGCGTTAAAATTGCACACGTTATCCATAAACAAATCACCATTTCAACGCTACCGAAATACGGGACCAGCTGTGGTTTCCTACCCCGCGAGATCATACTCTTGCCTGGAAAAAGACAGGGTCAAGATATTTTCACCGAACCCTTTAATCGATCCATCATTTTCGTCTCCTAAACTATTCCTCTGATCGTGAAAAGATGTACTCCCGCTTTGCTTTTTGCTTTACGAGGTTCAAGTCACAAAATCTAGTATCTTCTCAGCACTGTTAATTACGATTTTTAC